AATAAAATAATTAAACAAAATTTTTATTAATGAAATCATAAAAATATATGAATGATTTTTTGGTTGAAATTGAAACCAAACCAAATGGTTCTCTTAAAAAAATAAACGACAATTGATAAAACCATTATTTTTGTTTTGAATAATGATTGTTAGAAGAACATACATAAATAACATTGATTAATATATTTTTTGATTTAACATATTATATAATATATTTATTAAAAATTTATTATTTTTTAATCTAAAATTAAAGTTAAACAAACTTAAAATATAGTTATATAAACAAAACATAAAAACTTACTGAATCAATTGTAATTATATCATATTTTAATGGCTGAACTGAGTAAATGTTGAAAAATATGTTGAATTAAGGATATACCAATCATTTTTTTATACCTAAAACATATGATTAACCAATAGTTCAAATTTAATTACAACTAAAACAAAATCATGCCCACCCACACCCCCATCACCCCAACGATTCCTCCTCCATAATGCCACTTTCCCTATCATCAATCAAAGCGGAACCCCATGAAATTGAATCCAAAAGGGAGTTGTGGAAAAATTAACACGATTTGGCGACTTGTCCCTTTCAAAATTCTTAAGCGCCATCAAAACTCGATTAAAGTTCCCTGGTGCCTCCATCATCACTCAATCCTTATTCATTGTATCACCCAAACTGGGAAAAAATTTTCTTCTGTCCTAACTCTTTCACTTGTAGACCATAACAGCTCAAGTTCCATCTCCAATTCAGAACCCCATAGTCGGATGCACAAATTAACGTAACCCCAAAGTGACCCCTAGAACCTTAACCCACTTCACCATTTTGTTGGTTACCTAACACTCGCCATAGTCCCTAGCCACAGACCCAAATCCAATGCCAATATTTCACCCCAACATTGGGAGAAGTTCACTCACACCTCCCATCCATTAAGCCATCAATCCATGCCCACACCATGTAGAACCAACACCTCATTGCACCACAGCACTCTAGTAGCCTTAAGCCAACCCTCCCCACCAGGAGGGAGAGAACCAGGCAAGATGATATAGATATGTATAGCAAACGCAAAACCCTATTTTACGGGATGATTAAGGATTAATATCTATTCTTTATGGTCTATCAAAAAAAAAAATTATATCAATTCTCTATGGAAATGTGAGGAATATATATTCATTAACCATCTCTTAATTTAGTAGAAATTATAATCATTTGTTAAGGAATATCACATATTCTTAACTTCTCAAAAGAGTGTTCATAAGAAAAAAAATAAAAATTAAGACGCCTTAATAATTTAAATGTCAAGGTTGTTCAAAAATAATAATAATTTTTTTTTATCAGCAAAACGAATGATATATATTAATCAGGAGTATAAGAAATACCCCAAATTGCAACTACAACTATCAAGAAAAATGTTCAAATAAAATGTTCAAATAATAATAATTTAAATGTCAAGATTCTTTTTTAAATTGTTTAAATATTTTAATGAATATTTTTTGTGTTAATTTATTAAAGATATTTTAATTTTTTCATAATTATTCTTAGTATTTTAATTGTCAAGATGTTTTAATTATCCTTAATCACTATTCATAATTTTCCTAAAAAATAAATATATTACTCCCAACTAAACGAGCCCTAGAGAGTAAATGGGGCACAAGAGTTTTTTTTTTTTTTAGGTTGATCGGCCTTAGAGGGCACAAGAGGACTTACGAATTAATTTGAAAAGAACTGTACTTGTAACTTGTGAATAAAGAGAATGAAGTAATGGTGGGAGGAAACCCTCCAGCAATTACTATCTACTATCCTCTTAACTCCCACGTTGACTAAGGGAATCCAATGATGTCAAATTGGGTGTGCTGTATCGCAACACATTAAAAATTAAAGCCTTGTAATTTCTAGAAAAAATGATTGCAGCTCTTCCTTTAAAACCTCTACAAATGCTACCTTGTAAAGGGTGTATTACTTACATTTTTATTAATTTTTTTTAAAGGTTAATTTTAATTTTATAAATTTTATAATTAAAATTATACACGTATCATTGGTATTAAAAATAAAGTTAGTATTTATATTCTTTTTAATAAACTAATAAAAAATATAATTAATACATTCTTAACATATGTTTTGAAAATATATATTAGACAAAACCTTATTTAAAAACTCATCATGAATTGATTTCAAATTTGATATCAAAGAATAAACAAGAATCATTCTATGGGTTTTACTTGGGTTTAAAATAGAACAATTTCAAATAAAATAGTATAATTTCAAATTCTTCTTTGGAAGGAAATAAAATATAACATGGAAATGGTAAAATTATGATAAATTATTGGATTTAGTCCTCAATTTTTATTGTAATTACTGGATATTCTCTCCCAACCTTTCATAATTAATTAGACAAAAAATAGTCCTTAACTTTTTTCTAAATTACCAAACTTAATCTCATCGTTAATCATTTCCACATAGTCCCTAACAGAAATAATAGTTAGAATCTTGTGGGACCATGAGGACCTTAAAATAAGTAAAAGCTTGACAAACTTAAATTTCTGGGATTTATTTTTTTTTTCTTTTTCCAACTCCAAATTTCTGTTTCATTTTTTTTTTTCTTTATCTAATTAACAAAGACTTGTTTCATGACTCAGTCCTAGAAGTTACTATAAAGGTTAGGCCGTGAAATTTTTTTAGATTTGAATGGTTCCGTAAAATTCTAACTAAGATTTTCATTAAAGATTTAATGGAATTAAGTAAATAACAGTAGAATTAGACTTGGTAATTTTGAAAGGATTGGGAGTATTCCTTATCCAAGTTAAAATTTAGGACAATACAAAATATTTATATAAAAGATTGGAGGCTAAAGCAGGTATTTTATTTCTTTAAGTGACCGGGCTTGCCGGTTCAAACTCCACCATTGACGTTTTTCAATATTCCCTAGCCCAATAATTGCCAAAGTCGAAACAAAAAAAAAAAAAAACCCAGATATCTAAGAGGATTTAATTGCATGAATGATAAACTAAAGAAAAATAATTGCGACGCCTTTTAAATCGTTTCCGGTTCAAACTCCACCATTGACGTTTTTCATTCCCTAGCCCAATAGTTGCCAACCTCTAAAAAAAAAAGAAAGAAAAACCCTATATCTAAGAGGATTTAACTGCATGGATGATAAAGAAAATTATTAGTAGACTCTCTAGATTGTCACATTTTTAAATATTTATTTGATTTAATTATTAAAATATAATATATATACAATTGATTTAATCCGTTCATATATTTTGTATACATGATTATATTTTTAAATTTGTCTATTTTTAATTTCAAATTAAAAAATAATAATTTTTAATAAATGTGTTATAAAATATATTAAATCGAAGAGCATATTAATCATTATTCTAAATTAAATTTTGCCATATATAACTCTGTAAGTTAATGTTAAGTAGCAAGTTTATTTATCAAAATAAAAAGTTTGAAATAGTATTTTTAATACATAATTTTTGTTTCGTAATATGATAATTTTATTTAATAAAAAATTTTAAACTCAGTCATATTCTAATATAGAAAACATCATTTAGTTAAAATTACGTGATTTTTTCTTTATCAGCCCTTGAAGTTGTGTGATTGTTCGTAAGTGTTAAGGATTTTGATTTTGACTTGATGCTTGGTGGAGGTGGTGTTATAAGTTTAAGCCTTTTTTTTCCCTTGTGGAATTATATAATGAGAGGGGGTGCTGTTACAAATCTCTAATGGTAATCATTTTTTTTTATTCACACCACCTTAATAGATTATTACAATTTGAATTCAAAATTTCTTATTTTTTGAGTTGTACTTTGTATGTTGACAAAGATATTATTTTGAAGGATATTGATTGATATAGTATTTTATTTAACATATTACACAACACATATCTATTAAAAAATTATTTCTTTTAATTTAAAATTAATAATAAATAAATTTAAAAATAAAATCATATATATA